GCTTGTATTACGCATTTGCTTTGCTTTATAACCATTTTTTAAAATATTTAAAATTAAAAATTTGTACGCGTTTAAATTTAGCCCGTTGGCCGAATTTTTTGCGGCTTTAGCTTTTATGGTTACGATAAAACCTAGCTTTTTTACCCCCAATTTTTAATTTTAATGCTTAGTAGCAAAAAATGGGTATTTAAAGCTTTTTTAATTAAAAAAGCTTTAGCGCATTAACATTTTTTTTTCGGGTTGCAAGCGGGTTTTTCGTTTTGTTGTATTTAATTAGCAAATTGTAAATAATTACGTTAATCGGGTTTTTTTTTTGCTTGCTTTTAAAAAAGCTTTTTTTATTAAATTTAACGTTTTTTGTAATTATTACTTTTTTTTTAACGGAACCTAAATCCGGTAAATATTAAAAGCTTAATAATTTATTAAATATTTAACCCCGGTACGAAAGTTAATTTTAAAATGCTTAAAATTTGCGTTGTAAAACCTTTTTACGTTTAAAAGATAAGCTTTGTACCCGTAAGCGTAAATGCCGTTCCAATCCGGTTTTAAATCGGTTGTTAAACCCGTAAAAAGCTTCGGGGCGTAATGCCGGAATTACCCCCAAAATTAATTTAAAAAGATATTGTTAAAAGCGCGCATGCTTTTTAACGGTAAAAAATTATGTTTTTTAGCCAAACGGTAACGTAAACCGTTTTCGGTTATAAATGCTTAAAAAATTTTGCGCTTTTGCGCATGCGTATTTTTTTTGTAATAACGTTTTATCCCGTGCGTTCGATTATTCCGTTAAGTTTGTAAATGTATAACGGTAAAATTTCGATAACAATGCTTTTAATTTAAGCTTATTTTTCGTACTTTAAAAATCCTTTTATAAATATAATGGACTTTTTTTGGTTATATTTAAAAATAGCAACAAGCAATTTGTATTGTTTTTTTACTTACGCTTTTTATTTTTTTAAAACTTTAATAACCGTTGGTTTTTTTGTTTAGGATTGTAAAATTCCAAATTTTGCCGTTATATTTATTTATTAATAGCAAAATTTAATTTATTTTTAATTTTAACCTAACGTAATTAAATAAATTAAATTAAACCTTTTAAAAAAAGCGCATAACCCTTTTTATAAAGCGCTTAAAAACGATAAATATAGCGTAAATTGTTGCGCATGCTTCGCAATTAATCCATTTAAATTTTTTAATTTTAACGTTCTGGGCATTCCAAACGAAAGCTTCCAGCGTTTGTAATTTTAAATAATTATTGCGCAAATGCTAAAAATCGGCGGTGTTTTTTTACGGTTTTGTAAAGTTCGAAATTAAACGTTACGTATGCGTAATACGTTTGCGGCGAAAAAAAATTTTAATTGCAAAAGTTAAAATTATATTACCGGGAAAAAATTGCAACGTAATTAACATAAAATAAATAGCAACGGGTTTATATTTATAAAATATTACGTTATTTTTGCGTTAAAAGCGTTTAATTACTATCCCGTTAATAACTTTTTTAATGCTTAAAATTGCGTTTTTCCCGCAAAATTATACCTTTTTAGCGTTTAAACGGGCTTTTAAAATAATATTAACATAAAAGCCCTTTATTAAAGCAACGTTATAAAGCTTAAAATTTTTACTTTCGTTTAAAACGCTAAAAAGCGTACGAATGCTTTATTCCAAAATTGGAAAGTATTAAATGCCGCATTAAACCGTTTCGGTACCGTTTAACGATTAAAATAACCTTTTATTAAAGCGCTTTTTATCGTTAACAATGTAAAACGAACCGCAATTATTAAATAGCGTGCTTTCGAAATAAATATTTTTTATAATATTAAAAGCCAAAAAAACGCTTTAAAACAAAAGCATTTTAAACACGGCCGCGTTTAAATTTTTTATTTTTTTTAAAATTTAAAAACCAAACCTTAACGCGCTTTCGGTTTGCTTTTCCCAAACAAAATTTTTAAATTTGTTTTTAAAAAAAGGATTTTTTAAATAATTTTTAACGGTTTTTTTCCAAAAACTTTTTAATTTTTTTGCATTTTTTGTTGCTTAATTTATTGCAAAAACGTTTGGAATTACCGGTAAGCACGTATATAAGCTTTTAGCAATTTTCCGGCTTTTAAAAATGGGTTTAAATGCAAACCGGGCATTTATACGTTATTGCGTTATTTTGCTAAATGCTTTTAACTTTTTCGTTTTTGTTTTTAAATGCGCCCCCGAAAGTTAAAAACGCAAGCTTTTTTTTGGTACCCAAATTATTATTGCAATGTTATAAAAAAAATTAAAAATTTAGTTATTAAAATATTTATTTTTCCCGTAAAATTGCTCGTAGCTATTTTTTAACGGTAACGCTTTGCTTAAAAAAGGTTAAAACGCTTTATATGCTTAAAAAAGTTAAGCATAAGCGTAAAGCTTTGTATTTTAAAAACGTTTTTAATTTTGGCTTAAATAAAAATCGTTTGGAATTTTAAAAACCATTAATTAACGTTTGTAATGCTAACGGCCTTTTTAAGCATATTGCGGTATTTTTAAAAAATTATTTAAATTTTTATTATGGAAATAAAAGCGTAAAGCGCTTTTAAATAAATAATAATGCTATGGAAAATAACGTAATTATTGGTTTAAACTTTTAATTGCG